CGGACATGATTTCCTTTGTTTAAATTTGATGAATTATTAATGAGTTTAAGAATAGATGTTCTCAATGATCTCCCTCCATCACTGATTCACATTTTTCTGCTAACAAATGGGAACANACGCTTAGTAGTGTTTATAGCACAAAGATTAGTAGGGCCGAGCAAACAACTAAAACAAATAAATAATTCAAATTGAATATAACATTGTTAACAATCCCAACTGGGTGTTGGTTTGTCTTTTTTGTCTTTGAGGATGTATTGTATACCTTGTTTGGCATAAAACTCTGATTAGCTGCACTTTGAAAGTGTCCACCAGCACTGCTGACTTCTGTTTTGTTCCATCCACTGATCTGTTGATTGACACCACCCTGAAAAAAAGCCACTTCACCAGGTGGAGGCTCAGTTTTCATAGCAGATTGATCACCCGACTGGAATCCTCCAAATCTGTCATTCTTGTCCATAGAAGGAGTAACTGCAATGCTAGTTACTTCAGGTTGATCCACAGTTCTGAATACACTATATTTATCATTAGGGTCGACAGAATGATCACTGGAGACACTGCTGACACGGCCCCTTGATGCACTTCCCTCGGCCATTCCACTGCTATGAGATCCACCATGCGACTGCTCAGAGAAGCTCCAACCACGCCCTTTAGTCTAGACATTCAAGAGCAAATATAAATGTCATTAAATTTAATGTGGGTTTTGAGCAGTGAGAAATTAACAGTTTTAGCATCTTTATAAAAATTAAAATTAAAATAAAGTAAAATATAAAACTCTTGCAACTGGCTTTTAGCGTGTAGTTGTTAAATGCTGAGCAGATTCATTGTCTATTAATGAAAACCAGCAGGGCCATAGCTAGTAACAGGCAAACCGAGGCACTTGCCTCAGTCATATTTTTTCTGCTTTTGTTGTTTACAGTCATCATAAACACCCTAAATAACTAGGAGGAGAATTTNTTCTACAGTTATGGAAGGCGCTACTGACTTTTTTGGCTCAAAAGAAGTTCTCAAAAGAAATTCTCAAATGACTTTTTTAATTTCAAATTTTGTTACTGAAACCATTAATATTAGTAATTGGACCTCGTGTCATACAATTTAGGCACTGAGTAATCAAGCGTGTAATAATGTGCTTGAGCTATGCCCTTGTCCAATTTTGAAATTGTAACTGGCCCAATTACTCCCAGAATTGTACTCCACTCAGTCCAAATATTTTACTAATAATACTGGGGAACACACCTGCCCTAGGGCAACCAATCCCAGTACAATTCGTAGCTCTAACAGGTTCAGCTGGCCTGGAACTGCTTGGTTAGCTCTGTTCCAAATATGGCCAAGTTGGTCACGTGGGAGACTGGAAGCCATGAGAATAGGGAACAACCGATTGGTGTCAATGGCATCACATGCATCAGTTGTCTTCTCTGCGATTTCTTTATAAATTCCTGGTAGATCTGTGCCATGTACACACCAATCAGGGAGGGTTACACCATAGAGCAACTCTAGTTTTCTCTCAGGGCTGTCTTCCAGTTCAGGATCTGTAAAAATATTTACACATATGACTGTCAGGATCATAGGATTAAAGAAGCTCCGAGGAAATACAGCAGAAGTCAAAACAATTTTCGAATTGTCACCTCTAACAGTCACTCTGCTTATATGCGGCAATTCCTAAATTATTACCTGGTTCCTGGGTAGAGTCTGTTGGTGTGGCTGGCATGCTGCTTCTGTCAGGCCCTAGCTGCATGCTAGGCTCTTCATTAGGTGGTACAGGAACTGCACCAGGGTGGGAAGGCCCTGATCCAAAACCACCTCCGTAAGGGCCCATGGTGGATGGCTGATGCAAACTTCCAGTAGCAGGCAGAATACCCAAGGGGAAGTTACTACCTCCTTGATTTCCCATGTTAACCTGATTATGAGGTATCCCTGGCTGCGGCATTACTCCTGCATTTGGTACATTCCTGGCAACATTAGACATCATCTCTGGTATGCTACCAGTCCTAGTTCTAGAGATGTCACCTGCAAATTGGGCCATTTGACCCCCTTGATTAGGTACACTTGGTATGCTACCAGCTAGGTGTCTGGAGCTATCATCTGGAAAATGGGTAATTTGACTTCCTGGAGTAATGTTGGACGGTCCAACCCATGGCACTGACGTGGGAGCACCAACATTTGCCATGATATTACCTGATGCTGTTTGTGCACCTTGGATTGATGGGGGGGTTGACATATTTTGTGTTACTGGAAAACTGCTGTGCTGAGTTACAGTGGATGTACCAGCAGCAGGAATGTTCTTGGACTGTTCTAAGTTGGTACCATGCCATGCCTGGGCTTGAGAGAACACATTACCAGCTCCACTGACATTGGGAGAGGTTGGCATAGCACTGGATCCCATGGCAGCAAAGGAACCTCCTGTGAAAAACATGATTGAAGTAATTTTAGTAAGTTAAACACAACTTAAAAATTAATAAAATTATCGAGCAGAGGTGGTTTAAATTTTTTGGTTCAAAACTTAATAACCCACCACTTTCATTGGTTTACATTTTGTCTGTTAAATAATGAAAGAATCTAATGAACAGAGTAAAAGGGAGAAATATTAAAAAACACATTGTTCTGCTAATAATAACTTTAAACTGAAAACAAATTTAAGCACAGCAGTGACAAGTTTGTGAATTAGCAAATTCACAAACCAATTTATTGAAAAACTTTTAATTAACTAATGATACAATGATATGCCACACATACTGTGATTTTATAACATTTCACTGTCTTGGTATAAACTACAATTTGTTTTCCTGTCCATAGAAGTAACCATATAATGTAACCTGTAAAACTCCAGAGGTGCTGAAAAGGGAGAGGAGAAGGAGGGAGAAGGAGAAGATGAGCTCTTTCTCACTCAAAAAATGGGGAAATCAACTAAAGTTTCTTAAGGTTCTGTTCAAACCTTCTTAGGCTCCAACCCCAGATTTGAAAACTTATTATATGACTGAAAAAATTTCTTCATTGCCAGTGATCTCCAGAAGCGCCGGTGGCCGGTGTTTTCCCCAGCTACTCTCATTTCAAGAGCCAGCCACTTTTGTTAGACAAAACCACAGAAAAGGATTCTTCTGTTTCTGTAAGACAATTTTCAGCCAATGCTCCATTTACAAGCACTGGCTACTTTAAATTTTAGCTAACTACTTTAAAATTTGAAGAGAACACTGCATTGTGATTGGCTGAGAACAGGCCAATTCATCATTAATTTTTAATTGCACTGCAGTGCAAATTAATGCGTATGTATTCATAATTTCCCAGTCATACAACAAATGAGTAATTGTGTGAAAGCTTGAGCAATTAAGGATCTACACTATTCTTGATATTTGAAAATTCTTTCAAATTACACTTCATGTAGATACAATGAACCATTTTGCATCTGTTAAAAATAACCTTTACTCCCCCACTTTCCTTTAAATTATATAGCTTCTGAGGGAATCAAACATAATTATGAAGTCTGTTGCTAAATTTAATCACACTTCTGTCAGTAAGTAACACACCTCCAAACTGTCCTGTTGGTTGTCCCGCCTCTTGAAAGACACTGAAGACTCCGTCATTGCCTCCCTGGCCTGGAAAAGATGGACCTTGTGAAAAGTCACCAAAGTCATCTGTGTCACCAGTTTGTTGAGATGACAGTCCACTTGCTGGACCCCCCTGAGGAGTCATAGATCCTGATGTCATGAACCCTGAACCCCACTGGCCAGGAGTGAGATTTGAATGATGGCTAACACTGCCTCCTGGTCTAGAAACTGTCAAAAGGTGTAACCAAAGAACTACTGTAAGCTTTTTAACAATATTGCAAAGTCAAGGTAATAAGATACAAAAAACCCTGCTGTCGCAAGCTCTGAAAGGAAACAAAGAATAGTTTGAGATTGCAAAGGCTTGAAATAACCAAATAATAAGCACTTAAGATAGTGCTTAGGGAAATGGAGATAACCAAGTTCAGGATAGCAAGAAATACAGTTGTGAATTCTCAGTTATTTATACCATTGGTGTGAAAAATGATTTAACATTTGTACAATCATGAACTCACAAATGCTTGTTGCTTTTGTAGCAGCAGATTTTGGAGTTGTTTCCTTGCCAAGAGGCCCAATTAAATCTGTCATCGATGAGCCTCCACCCTTCTTGTTTTTGCCAAACAAACTATCTAAAGCATCTGTACTTGTAGCTTTTTTGGCACTGAAAGACTGCTGTAATTTCCATTGTTTAGCTTCAAGTTGCTTTTTCTTCATCAATTCCTCCTGTTTCTTCATGTTTTCTTCAGCTTGCTTCCTTTGCTGATCAATCCTTATCTGTTGCTGCTTAGGAAACTGATGACCCAATTGTACATTTGAAGGAAATGCTCCAATTTGTAGTCCCATCTGGGTGCCCATTTGTGGTCCCATTTGAGCTCCCATCTGAGCTCCCATCTGATGACCCATTTGAGGCCTCATCCGTGGATTCATTGGAGGACCCATTGGTCCACCCATTTGAGGGTCCACAGGTGCTCCCATCTGATAACCAGGAAATTGCTAACAGCAAATTAAGAGTATGAAATCAACTTAAGTTTTTCAAAGATTGAACATATCCAAAAAATAGACACCCACGTCAAATATACCTAAATATTAATCGCAGAAGATTCCTCCAAGGTAATTGACAAATCACTACATCTCAGTTTAGAATTTCGCTGGTAAAATATAGATTCATTTGTGACAAGTAAAACTGATCTCAAACTGATCCAAGTCATCACGAAAACTGTCTGACTTACGCAAAATATGTACCGGTGTACACTAAATTAGAATTACAATTTCGAGTCTGTTGTTCAATCAATAGGCCAATTCCGATATATTAAAATTCTAACTTGGCTCCGAGGCTTAGGGGAATAAAACAAAGGAAATTAAATATTCATCCCTCATCCTCGATGCGATTTCTCTTGTTTTATTCCCCTAAGCCTCGGAGCCAAGTTAGAATTTTAATATATTGGAATTGGCCTATTCTGTAGGCATGAACTCATAATTACTTTTAATATCAGTCTGTCTGTATGATTCCATACAACAGGTTCGATTCCGAGGAGAAAAAAAAGATAAAACATGGGAGGAGTTCAGATAAAAAACTGTACTGCCGTACCACTCAAGATTCAGCTATGTCAGGTTGGTGTTTTGTATCACGGTCTCGTCCAACCTGGAGAGTTTTTCGCTAGGGAGACCGGTGCCGTGCATTTCACAATCCGTGCCACGGTTAGCGACAGAGACGACACAGACTGGAGAGACACAGTATTGCCTGTTGTTGGAGTTGGCGTGGGTAGCCTTGCAGCCTTGGCCACGGCAGGTGCAGGTCTAGCTATTGCTGGTGCTGGTATTGCTGCCGCTGGTGCTGCTGCCGCTGGAGGTACCATTGCTGTGGAGGGTCTTGTAACTGGAGCTGTGGCCATTACACAAACTGGTATTCTGACTACAGGAGGAGTATTGATCACAAAGGAACTTGCCCAAAAGTTTTTCCAGGGAGCCAATCTGAGCCACGGTTACATTAACTCTGCAGGATGGTATTTCGGTGGTAAAAACGAATTAGAAATACATGGAGGTCCTCAAATTCTCGCAGATTCCGAAGGTTTTAAGTACAGTGGTTCTCCACTTTACATTGTTGACAAGAACGATGAAAGTCGACATTCTTAACTTTAAAATATGGCACATGTTACTATTTACCCAATTTAAAGACGAACATAAAGTGCCATTCAGTTTTAGTTGTGTGTAGAAAAATGTGTGCATAGTTTTTAGCACAAATAAAATTAGGAAGACTCGGCAAACAAACTTGGAGTTGAAGTAGCTGATTTAGCAAGAACATGTTATGGCCTGTTTTCTATTAATTTAATATAGGTATTCTATATTGTCGGAATTATTACTCTCCAAATGTTGTTTGAACAAACAGGTGTCAATTTTTTTGTATGTGTTGACTTTGTTTGGAAGCTTGTAATACTTTGTATTGCTACAATTATTTTCAAATTTTAGTCAAACATTTGAGCGACTTGAAGGCAAATTTGAGAACATATATTTGTTATGACACAATTTCAGTTTGTTCAAAAAGCTTATGTAGGAGTTTTAGTGTCAAGCATTAATTTCAGTCTGTTTTTGGTAGATAATTATCCCTCATTAACTATGACTACAACACTAGCAGCGAGAGAAGTTATTTCGATGAAGGATGACAGAGCCACCGAAAATTCAGTTCAAAAAAACCTCATAGCACTTAACACTGTGATGTAAGTAAAAGAAATAAGAGCAAATGATAAAAATGAAAACTAGAAAGGCAGTGTGTATCAACCAGTCAACAAGCATTGACCGATATGTATATCACTTCAATCAGTTCTAGACCAACTGTTAACTGCTACTGGTCTGTCAACTACACCTAGCATGAATCGCACACAATCAAAAGGGTGATTGCCAACAAATCGACTTGACATTGACTCACATTCAAGTAAAATAACCACCAAGTGTTCAAGTGAAAGAGAACTGACATATTTACCGACATCTGCAGTGACGATTGACATAAATTATGGACCAAGTAACAACCAACATATCGACAAAGTGACAGTAGATACCACCAAGTGATGACTGACATATCAATCGAGTGACAACAGACATATCAATAGTCTGCGAGCAAACTGTCTTGGAGTAGAAGTCTTACTCCAAGTGAGTCTGCTCGCAGGCTATCGTATCATCAACCAAGTGATGAATAACATACTGGACAAGCGAGAACTGACATATCGACTAAGTGATGACCTAACTGATGACTGGCATATTGACTGGCCATACTGCATGGTTAAGTGGGGAACATCAAGGCAGTAAATTTTCTTCCCCTTACATATCGCTTTTCTCAACATCACTAACACTTACAACTATCCCCATAGTCAAAAATGTACTACACCCTAAAATGTTCGCTAGAGGAAGTACCTTATGTTTCTAATATTCACATTCTTAGCCACTTGACTTAAGCCATGGTGCTTTCCGAGGATTTTCCTATGCACTGTGGTTCTTTTTTTGAGTAAATCCTCATTGAGCACACTGGTGATTCTTTTGTTGCAGTTACCCAAGGCAAGAAACTT